AAATTATTCCAGCAGAGCAGCTTAGCCGTGTCTCAGTAGGTGGAGTGGGTTGCTCAGCAATCAGAGGGCTGCAGTTTGACTTACAGGTCCTTCATTTTGCCATTGTGTCCTTGGGCACCTTTGTGCCTCTCCTCTGTGTATATCTGAGAAATACATAAAATGTCTAATCACTTGGTTCTAATTCGCTAAAACACAAGAAAATAAAATATCAAACATCAGTATTTGCATTAGTCTGTTGATTTTAGTAATTATTTTAACTAACTAAAGTTATATTTAATAGATAAACTCTAATAACCAGACATGCTTCCTCAGCATAAACATCAAAATAAACATCAGAATAAACATCAAAATAAACATCAGCATAAACATCAAAATAATCATCAGCATAAACATCAAAATAATCATCAGCATAAACATCAAAATAAACATCAGCATAAACATCAAAATAAACATCAGCATAAACATCAGAATAAACATCAAAATAAACATCAGAATAAACATCAAAATAAACATCAGCATAAACATCAGAATAAACATCAGCCTAAACATCAGAATAAACATCAGCATAGACATCAGAATAAACATAAAAATAAACATCAGAATAAACATCAGCATAAACATCAAAATAATCATCAGCATAAACATCAGAATAAACATCTAAATGAACATCAGCATAAACATCAGAATAAACATCAAAATAAACATCAGCATAAACATCAGAATAAACATCAGCATAAACATCAAAATAAACATCAGCCTAAACATCAGAATAAACATCAGCATAAACATCAAAATAAACATCAGCATAAACATCAGAATAAACATCTAAATGAACATCAGCATAAACATCAGAATAAACATCAAAATAAACATCAGCATAAACATCAGAATAAACATCAAAATAAACATCAGCATAAACATCAGAATAAACATCAGCCTAAACATCAGAATAAACATCAGCATAGACATCAGAATAAACATAAAAATAAACATCAGAATAAACATCAGCATAAACATCAGAATAAACATCAAAATAATCATCAGCATAAACATCAAAATAAACATCAGCATAAACATCAAAATAAACAGCATAAACATCAAAATAAACATCAGAATAAACATCAGAATAATCATCAGCATAAACATCAGCATAAACATCAGAATAAACATCAAAATAAACATCAGCATAAACATCAGAATATACATCAAAATAAACATCAGCATAAACATCAGAATAAACATCAGCATAAACATCAGAATAAACATCAAAATAAACATCAGCATAAACATCAGAATAAACATCAGCATAAATATCAGAATAAACATCAAAATAAACATCAGCATAAACATCAGAATAAACATCAGCATAAATATCTGAATAAACATCAGAATATACATCAGCATAAACATCAGAATAAACATCAGCATAAATATCAGAATAAACATCAAAATAAACATCAGCATAAACATCAGAATAAACATCAGCATAAATATCAGAATAAACATCAGAATATACATCAAAATAAACATCAGCATAAACATCAGAATAAACATCAAAATAAACATCAGCATAAACATCAGAATAAACATCAGAATAAACATCAAAATAAACATCAGCATAAACATCAGAACAAACATCAGAATAAACATCAGCATAAACATCAGAATAAACATCAAAATAAACATCAGCATAAACATCAGAATAAACATCAGAATAAACATCAGCATAAACATCAAAATAAACATCAGCATAAACATCAGCATAAACATCAGAATAAACATCAAAATAAACATCAGCATAAACATCAGAATAAACATCAGAATAATATTAAATATTTATTAGAGGCACATTATGAATGCATATAAACGTTTTGATTAGGATTTTTCAGATTTCCCATCTACAGATTCCTATTTTCCTTCTCGTGTGACATCACAAACGTCACAACCTCTTTTCGCTGGCTTCTCGATAAAATAGCCGTCAGATTTACATACCAGAGGAATTTCATGGATTTGTTCTGTTTGTGTAATCTGAGCCAGGATATTGTTACAGATTAACAGGACAAAGTCTTTAACAAGGAAAGTGGTGAATATCAGTAAACTTGGGTTCTTAATGTGAAAAAGGCAGAATTTATAAAATTGTTAAACAGAAAAGAGGAGAAACACATCTGTCTTTTAAGAATAAAACAATGAACCTTGATCGTTTCTCCTCCAGGATCTCCTGCTGGAACCAAAAGGGAATCCTGACCTTCTGCTGGTGTCCCAGTATCAGGATGGATGACTGGCAGGTGGTTTCAGGTTGGTATGCTGCTCTGCTGATCCATAAAAGAGGTCCAGTTGGAGCTCTGGATGTAGAGGAACAGGAGAACCTCCTCTCAGATCATGTTCTTCAGAGGTGGGCCAGAGGCCTGATGTCTCCTTTGTTGAAGCCCTCCAATGAGAAGCTGTGATGTTCATGTTCTTCAGTAGTGGAGAAGCTAGACGTAGCTGCTTGAGCTACGCCGGTGGAGGTCCCTGACAGCACAGAGGGACCAGCAGAGACCTTCTAAAGTCTAAATCCTAAAGGTGATAGAAAATAAGACCTTCTGAAAATAGTTTCTGTGGAAAAGTCCTGAAAACATCTGAGCTCTTGTAGCTTTCATGAATAGTTTTACTTTGGAGAAATAGTTTAGATCCAGCAGGAACGATAAGCTGCGGTGTGTGTGTGTGTGCACGCACTTACTTAAATGAAAACATCTCACAGACACTTGAGATACTTTCATTTATGATGCTACAGCAACTTATAAATTAACCCTTTAAGGGAAATGAGGGTTTTAATATTAATAAAATCATTATTGTTATAAATAATAATAATAACATTTTTATTTAAATCTTTCTGTCTTACAGAAGCTAAAGTGCTTTTGTTCGTTACTCTGAGTTGCTAGCCTAGTGAACTAGATCAAATTCTTGCTTTGCAAAGTTTGGTCTAGACATGCTCCATTGGAACCTCCGCAGCTCCTACCAGGACTCTGGCTAACCAATCACAGCTCTCTAGAGGGGTTTCAAACACATAAAGAGCTGTGATTGGTCCATAATGGTGGGCCAGTCATAGTGCTCTATCTGCTTAGTGAACAAATCACAGAGCTTTATCCGCTTTGTGGGCCAATCAGGGCACTCTATATGCCTGGTGGGTGGGATGATGCAACAGAGTGAAACAAGAGTATGTCACATTCATTGTCCAGTGGAATCGAATGCGGAGATCATTTGAAAGACAACGGTAGAACCCGCCCCACAACCGAGAGCCGTCAATGGAGCGTGGCCAGACTAAATAATACATTTATTTAGTCTGGCTTGCCAGGCTACTGTGTTGCTGCTCCAGCAGATATTTGACCTGCCACCTTTTAGAATCACAAACGTTTTCCAACCATCTGTTGCAGGATCAGTGACTAGAGAGAACCGAAGACGTGATCGATGTAGAACAAAACCTGGAACACTACTCCCTCTAGTGGCAGGCTGCAGTATAGTTTACACCCCGCTCCCGTCTTGAATGCTAATTAAACATTTTCCAGACCTAAAACATGATTAAAACTCATCAGATCATTTCTAAAATGCTTTTCCGCTCCCAGGAACAAATGTAGATCTTCTCCTATAGCTTTATGTTCAAATGTCCAATAGCCTGAAAGGCCTGATCACCTCTGGTGTTCATTAGTGTGGGGCACGCCCCGTAACCACCGGCAACCGCACCAGCCCTCTGTCACCTCATTGGTAACTGTACTCACATGGAAATGTGAATAAAGTCATATTTCATCAAAGACAACCTCAAACTGCTGCTTCTCTTGTTTTTGCAGAAATTATTTGATGGGTGCGACTCCTGGATGCTACATTTTGCTGCTGAAGATACAAACATCGTGTAAATATATGAAAATCTGCAACAGTTTAAAGATGAATACGTTTTAGCAGATTTGTGTTTTTTAAAGATGGCAGCAAAGCAGGCTGCTCTTTGACTAGCTGTTAGCCCATCAGTCCTGAAAGGGTAAACTCTGTTTCTCTAAGGAGAGGCTGTTCAGGAAGCCATCTACAATGTTTAAAAGTTTTTATTCAGAAGAGAAAATCTGCTTCCGAATGGATGAAAACCCATTTCAGTGTTTGTCGGCAGAGTTTCGTTCTGCTCAAACAAGCTGATAAAAGCAGATTGTGTTGTCTTGGAGATAAAAGAGTAAACAAAGCGATGCTGTGATAACGATATCTACAGCTGTGTTAAAAACAATCCAAAACAAGGCGACTACTTTACGTCTCCGTGTGTCTTCATCCTTGATGAACGAATCCACTTCACTGATTAGATACAAATCTAAAATTAGAACAGCAAACCCTTGCTGATGGTTTCCAGTAAGACCCGCCTCAGCAAGGCTTCTGGTGTGTGATCCCTGAGGCTGGTACCAGGGTCCAGGTCTGTCCTGAGTCTACCACAATGGGTCATACTGCAGGTTCTGGTTCTGGTAGTCAGGTCCACCCCTCCAGGTTACATCAACCTGCTGAATCCTCTTCAGGGTCAAATCCAGCAGGCAGGAGATCTAAAGCTGGAGTAAAAGTGCTGGAAAACGTTTCTCTTTGAGGGACTATTTCATCCATCTGATCTAAAAAAAAAAGACTGTAGGGTTCCACACACACCAGCTCCGGGCTGTCTGTGGCTAACAAACCCAGTTCCTGTTTTAACAAACATGAAGGTGTATTCTATTCTGCTACGTTTGTGCTCATTCTGTCTGACTCGGTGAGAATATCTGTTCTGTTTTCATCAGATCTCGTTTCCACATCAGAGCGTTATCTGGCTAGGCAGTTAGCCGCTAGCCGGCGTGTTGGGCTCAACCAACTTGGTCCCAGTTGAAGGAATATTTTAAGTTTTACTGTAATTCATTTTATGTAAATCCTGACGTAGAACTTCTAGTGTGAATAAAAATCACTAACCATTAATATTGATTTGCTGCTGAAACACAATCAAAACCAAAGAAAAGAGACGAAAGAGACAATTTTACAGTTTAGATTCATAATTTTATTTGTAAAAAGTGCAGAAAATCATTGATGTCATAAAACGTGAATAAATAAAAAAAAGATAACAGATCTGATCTGAAGTCCTTTTAGATACAAAAACCAAACTCCCAGATCTGAAGTAACACCTGAACCCAAACAGAACCATCAGCAGCTTTTCTCCTCAGAACCACAGCTGTCCAGTCCATCTCCTCCCAGCCAGTCCTCATCCAGCTCCCCCAGGATCTCCTGCAGGGACAGCACAGGAAGAGGGGTGTGCTGGACCTGCTGTGGATGTCCAGACTTCCTGCAGTCATCCAGAACCGCCACGCTCCATGAGTCCTCCAGCTGGGCGTACTGACCTTCTGCTGGTGGGCTGTTCTGTCTGCTGACGTCCCAGTATCCAGAATCGGGCGTTTCAGGGGTGGAGGAGTTCAGGTACACCTGCTGCTCTGCTGATCCCGGGTACATGAAGGTGGTGTGGTTGGAGCTCGAGTTAAAGCAGTTCATCTCCAGAGGAGGTTTGTACCACAGAGGAGGGACAGGTGAGCTCTGGCTGCCCGGGTGAGACCAGAACCCACTCAGGGGTGGGCTGGAGCTCTGATGTCTCGCTTGTTGGAGAACATGTAAGGAGCTGTGCTTTTCCTGTTCCTCAGAGGTGGAGAAGGAGGAGGGACACTGAACGTAGTAGCTGCCTTCCTCCATCTCCTGCTTCACCTGGGCTGGGTAGGCGGGTGGGGGTCCCTGAGACCGCAGAGGAACGGTCAAAGCTCCGCTTCCAGCAGCCAGGTGAGGTGGAGTGAAGGCGTCGTGGCCCGGGCTGTCAGGCTGCCACACACCCTTCTTGGCTCCTTTACACTTCAGGGTCCGAGCTCTTCGGTTCTGAAACCAAACCTTAACAGGAAACAAACAAAAGCAACAGAAGTCAGAATGATAACAGGGTAGAGTGGTATCAGTGGATTTGGTTCTGAGCTCCCTCAAATAAAACCCGACCAATCAGATCATTGTCTTTGGAGATAAATGAAGTGATAATCTACCGCTGTGTGCAGGATGCATCTGGGAATGTTTGACTGGGAAAAATCCCACAGAAACACTCATCTTCAACATGTCAGAGGGGTGCAGAGCCTGATGACCACAAACATTCACCCTCTTTCCCTCAGTCAAACTCCCCTGAGAACTTTGACCTCTGTTCTTTCTCTCCACAGTATTTTAGCTATTTAGGGACATCTTGGGTGTTGATAATAAACAAACCTGATGTTAAAATCTCTCTTTGGCCTTTAGGATGTTTGAGTCAGTACCTGGATGCGTGACTCTGGAAGGCCGGTGGTTTGGGACAGGTTCTCTCTGAGGCTGATCCCGGGGTACGGGTCTGTCTCAAACGTGACCCGCAGAAGCTCCACGTGATCTTTGGAGAAGCAGGTCCTCTTCCTGCGGCTGGCGCTGCGGGAGGAGGCACCGCCGGAGGCCACGGCTCTGGGATGAGCTGATGGGAGGAAACCAAAAAAGGTAATAATCACCTGACATTTATACATCACGTTTAAATTATTCAGTTAAAAACAAAACCAGAAAGATCATCAGAACAAAATTATCTTCATTTTTTTTCAAATTCTCTAAATGTGTAAAAAAGTAGATGGCAGAATAAAATTAATCAGCTGCAAATTAACCATCTCAGGCTCAAAATAAGTGTTGATAAAAGGACAAACAACTAAGTCCTCCAGGGAAATACGTATGTGGAGTAACCAGGTAGGTAGGTTCTAACCTGCCTGCCTCCAGAGGGTTAAACAAGCTGCTTCTGAAGAAATGTCATCTAATTTGACCAGTTTCTGGTTTCAGCAAATTTATCTCATGGGTTAAAAACCTTTTTGTTTGACATTAAAGTTAAAAATCCCAGGAAGAGGACGGAGTGCTCACCGTTGCTGGAGTCCTTCCACATGGCAGCAGCAGGATGTGTCAGCGTGTCTCTGAGCATGTCTTTTATCAGATCCTCTTTTATATTGATCACCTGGATGGGGGGGGGGGGGGTAGGGTCGGGGGTGGGGGGGGGGGGTGGGGGGGTTACAGGAGACTTCTGACCCCCCCCTTCAATTATCACCTCCCTTACTTTAAAGCAGCAACAAGGTCAACAACACAGCAGCTGTTGGACGACTCATGGATCGTCGAAACCACTTCACCACAGCATCACGTGATCAGCTTTAATTATCGTCTTCTCCAGTTTGTATCCTCTTCTGGGTCAAAGCTCTGTTGTCAGACGCAGTAAGGAGCCTCTCTGAATGATGAAATCCTGACTGCTGTCCTCTCAGGCTGCCAGAAGAATAAATGTTTGTTTGGTTTTAAATAAACTTGATTTTCTGCAGAATTAATTTCATATTTAAATCACACTAATCTTTACTAGATGTTAATCAGTCATGTGTAATGTCTGGACCTGTTTTCTGAGCAGAAGCCAATCAGCATCTTTCAGATGGAAAACAGTCACATGATCAGAGCAAAGCCAAACAAAAGTGGTTTATGTGGTGATTAACAACATTGACACAGTCTCTTCTCTCTGGTTTTACAAGTCTCGACCTCGACTGTGTGCAGATGCAAAAACTTTAACCCTCATGTTTAAAATACCTGTGCACGCCCCCTTTCTCAGCTCACCTTTGACCTCTCCTTTCTTGTTTGAATGAATGATTTTTGAACCTCAGCAGATGTGAAATGCACTGATAATGTAAACAGCAGCACTCAATGGCGATCAAAGTGCAGCAGCAGGTTTACAGTTTAGTAAGTAAATTTAAGGCTTGTTTTTATCTGGACAGGAAGAAAAATCCATCAGTGTGTTTGTGGACGCTGCAGCTTTCTCTCTGTGGGGTTCATCTGAATCCTGTCAGAGCCTCGCCAAGCAACGCAAAACTTTAGCTTCAGTTTCACCCAAACACCCAACCCTAACCGACTCCGATGATCAGAAACCAGCGAGCCATGCATCCATGACCCCATTTGTGCATCCATGACCCCATTTGTGCATCCATGACCCCATTCATGCATCCATGAGTCGATTCATGCATCCATGAGCCCATTCATGCATCCATGAGCCAATGCATGCATCCATTAGCCGATTCATGCACCCATGACCCAATTCATGCATCCATGAGTCGATTCATGCATCCATGAGCCCATTCATGCATCCATGACCCCATTCATGCATCCATGAGTCGATTCATGCATCCATGAGCCCATTCATGCATCCATGAGCCAATGCATGCATCCATTAGCCGATTCATGCACCCATGACCCAATTCATGCATCCATTAGCCAATGCATGCATTCATGAGCCAATGCATGCACCCATGATCCGATTCATGCATCCATGAGCCGATTCATGCATCCATTAGCCGATTCATGCACCCATGACCCGATTCATGCATCCATTAGCCGATTCATGCATCCATGAGCTGACTCATACACACATTTACACACAATGTGCTCCAGTCACCAGGCTGTTCTGATAATGGTAAATCACTAGAAAGAGTCTGATCAGGTAGAGCCGTGTCTCTGCAGATCCGTGCACATTTAGAAAACGGAAGCTGTTGTTTAATCAGCTGATTGTAGAGAAGCTGAAACTAAATTTCCAAAATGGTAAATAATGCAGCAGCAGGTGTGTTGTGAATGTGAAAAATGAAACAATGTGGTTTCCATGGTAACACTTTAGACATTAATGCTTTTTTTGCAGATGAAGTTTGCTTGGAACGGAACAAATAAAACCCTGAAAAACAGGCTTGTAGTGATGCTTTAGCTATTTCTGAATTGTCTTTCTGTGTCAATGACAAAGTCCTTTGTTGCATGTCGGAAGGACCGGTGGCACATGTGTACGGCAGTCTGGCTTGTGCTCATCGCCACCAGCATGTGACATTCACTGTAAAGCGCTTTGGAGTCCTCTGACTCAGAAAGATGTCATTTGTTTTACCAAACATTATCAAACCTCTGTCGATTTGTGACAGAAATTATAAATTCCTGTAGGATTCAGCTGGACGCAGTTTTAATCCCTAAACACTCAACAGAAAAACACTAACGGGCTTAAAAATATTACATTTGAAAAAGTATAATATTATTACCTTACTTTATTGATATTATTATTATTTAAACACACATTATTCTATCTTTAATTGCCCAAAATTTAAAAAGCAAAAATTCTAATGTTTCCTCCCTGGTGTGAACATTAAACCTTAGCAGAACGACGATACTTTTAGTTTTATTGTCCAGACTTTCTTTAGATTTTCTCTTTTTAATTATTTATGTTTCCTCCCTTCTAAGTTCAGTCTTTCCTCCTAACACGATGAGCGTGTTTGGCTCTGTTATCTCTCCAAAGCCTTGGAACAAGGAGACAAGAGCAAAGAGCAGGAATACAAGAACCAGCAAGAAAACAGTAACAGCAACTATAACTGATGCATTAAGTTTTTTTTTCTTTTGAATTGGGGATTTTTCAACAACACACCATTGGACTTTGATGTGGAGTGTTTTTTTCACATGCCAATGATTCCTAAACCTGCTGTTAATGAGGTAAAGCATAGCTGGCCAGATAAAAACACAATAAGACATTGTCTGTCCTCAGAGTGCTGACGTCAACATTATTGAAGCAGTGAGGTCATCTCAACAAGAAACAAAAACAATGAACAAGATATAAAAGAGGGCAAATGTCCTTTCACTTATCTAGGCCAGCCACTATAGTAGATGAGACTACTTAAAATAACTTATCGTAACACCAGTTTAAATCACATTTTAAGTTAATCTAACACAAACTATTAAGTCACTAATTTGGTGGTTTTTGGGTTGAATTTTGTGGAGCTATAAAATCCAAAAGAACTGAACCATAACTGCTGAAAAATAAAGTTATTTAATTTTAGTGAGTCTAATCAGCTCGGTGCCAACCCCCCCTCACTGAGTCGCGGTATTAATTATCTCTCCGTTTCCGCCCGGTGGGATTTGACGGTGGGACCAACGCAGGGCGACATGGCTAAAAGCGACTACTTTAAAAGAACCAACCTCTTTTGGATGGTCTCCGTCACTTTCGCGGTTGGATATTTTTCTGTAAGTGTATAAAATCTGCTGTAAAACGTTAGAAAAATAAAAATAAATTTAGTTTTCCCGAAGTGGCTAGCGTGTGTGTAACGGATTAATGCATCCGGGTAATATTGAGCAGTACCGCGGTTTAGTTTTCTTTATTTACCACATAACTTGTTTTATGTAGTAAAACTGGCCGGAGCAGCTTTTAATCTAATCGGTGGTAATTAAGAGATTGGTGCTGCTCTGCGCAAACAAACCTGGAACAAAGTCCGTTTTATGCTAGCTGCCAGTGACCTTTTGGCGCTGTTCTTTATCATGTTAGCGGTGTTGTTAATAAACAACGCATCCAGGTGTTAATGTTGTATTTTTATTTAAATAAACAACGAGCTAAAGCTTCCATGCTTTGAATATGATACGTTTCTGTTTAACCTCTTCGATGGATAAATATCTCGTTGTATGGCAGAATTGTGTCATTTTTTGATGTTTTAGTGAAATCTTTAAACGAACTTCCGGTACAGCCGTGTGGAGCATGGATATGTATATAAATATGTACGGTCTGGAGTTTATTTAGCCAGGAAGTTTCATAGCTCGACAGTGAAACAGACCACACCTTGTAAAAGCAAACAGGAGATTTGTATCTGTTTCTGTAAAATAGAAATAAGCTGAAAGCCATTGACCATTTAATTATGTATCAACAGAAACACAGAAATGTATAAACCAGAAACCAGCTCAGTGGCCTAGTGGAGTGTCCACCTTGGGACAGTGAGATCAGGGTTCAAATCCCAGTTGGGTCATACCAAAGACTTAAAAAAACGGGTCCCAGTGCCTCCGCGCTTGACACCCAGCGTTAGGGGTTGGATTGGGGGTTAAACCACCAAATAGTTCCAGTGTGAAGCCACAGCTGCAGCTCACCGCTCCCCACAGGGATGGGTCACATGTGGACTAATGGGACTTTAATCTTTAAGAAACATTCTCTGTCTTCTACTCATGTCCCCAGAGCTGATGTTTAAAAGTTTATCCAAGTAACTCAGTAACTTAAGTTTTGTAGTTTCTTTACAGAGGCTCAGAATTAATGAGAATATTAAAATGTCACCTTTAAAGTTTTTTTTATATTCTTAGAAATGAAGCTTGGAAGGTCTTCAGGGAGAGAAACCCAGAGGTTTTAGTGAGTGCTGCTGCAGAGGTGTTAATTTTTTGTTCTTGTGAAGACCTCGTGATTTTTATCTTATAAGAGATCGTTTTCTTTCTTTCTAAATGATTATGGCTGATGGATACCTGTTTGCTTATTACACAGCTATTACACCAACTGCCTTTGGTGTAATGAAACTTGGAGGATTTAGCTCTGGTTTTACGGCTGACGTGTCTAAATGGTCTGAGTTGTTGTTGCAGTGCATCGTGTTTGCTCCAGAACTAATCCCGTTCCAACAACTCGGAGGGTTTGGCAGCTTTTGCAAACACCTGGTGGACAACTATGCCGGCGTGATGTACAAAGGGTAGGTGATGTTCTACGTCTAGTTCTGCAGACTCCAGAAGATCTCCTGATGAATAAAAACATCTACAGACTTTATATGAAAATATTTATAGTTTGGTCAGATCCAGAAATAAAAGCTTCATGTTGAATTTTTAAACATTTTAGTTTGATGTGAATAAAAACTTTGACCAGATTCATTCAAACTCATTTCCATCTGTTTCTGTTGGATTGAGGATCTTCTAAAGGTGCGAAGTGTTTAATCAACAGCTGTAATGGTTCGGTAACTCCTGCTCTTCAGCTTTTTTTCATTAGTCCTTAAGATCACATGACTTTTCAGACATGTGACCTTAAGGAGAGGCTTTTAAGCCATAGCTTCTTGTTTAATGTAGAAGATAATGAGATGCAGCTGGTTTATGATCACATGATTTCCTTCCTGGAAGGCCCTATACAAGTGTGGGTCATTTATCAGTTAACGTTCATAAATCACAAGATCATGGGTTGTAAAGCCCTCCAACACGGTAAAACCACAGACTGTTGGATAGGCAAATCCTTCGCTCCGTCACTCGTAGGTTTCTGAGTAACTGAACTGATGCCCAGTGGGCGGTTCCCACCATCTTCATCTTGGCCACATCCCGTCACTCCAGTAAAATACAAATGGAGCGGTGCTGTGAGGGTGGAGGCAGATGGTAAACACCCATCAATAAGCCATAAGTGGTAACGTTTTTAACGAGGCTGAGGCCTTCCCTGCAGGAGAGCTAGCTGCTAGAGTAGCACTGATCTGCTACCTGTCAATCAGAAAGACGCCCCTGCACTTGTATAGTGCCTTTCAGAGTCCGAGTGCTCCAAAGTGCTTTACACTACAGTGCATCATTCATCCATTCACATGCACTGATGGTGATGAGCTATTGACCCTTTGCACGTGACGTCACGCCACTCATGTGACCGCCCCCTTCGCCATGATGGACGGCAAAAAGACCGTTACACCCGTAGAAACTCCAGTGAAGCTAGTCAAAACAAGCCAGCTTGTAGCCTTTTATCGCTTTTATTTACTAGATTTGACAGTAAAATGGTTTTAGCTTGCTGCGTGGTTGGCTGCACTAAGAGACAAGGATGTAAACTCAACTCGTTTTGTTGTTTTAATAACTTTGATGGAGACTGAGGACAGAGATGAACTGTAGCTATCAATCAAGCGGACTAGCAGGCCTCATATTTGCAGCGAGCATGTTTTTACGGGGTAAGGTTAACGTTAATTCATTTCAAGAGTAAGACAGGGACAGGGATAAATGTGATGTGTTTATACTAGTTATTGATAATCCTGATGGATGGGTAGGCTATTTCACCACGGAGGCTGCGCTCCGTCCACTATAGTGTAAAGCGAGACAATTATTAACAATATTAAAGCTCTGATGTATGATTACGTGTGTTAAAATGACGTTATTTATTTATATGAGCGTCGGCGTTCAGAGATCTTCTCATTCCGGTGTGAGAGCAGCAGCTGAACCCGGACCAGCAACAGAAGCTGGTAGGGATCCGAACTTTTTAAAAATCAGCTTTGGTGTAAAGTGAAACGCTGTTTATAACAAAGTTATAAATCCAGAGGGGTGAATTTAGGCAAAGTCAGCAACATGTTTACATCGGTGAACAGCTGCAGAGAGAACGTAAGCTAACGTTGGTAAGCTAGTTAGCATACCGCTCTCTATGAGCCCCGCTAGATGCGCTACTTCTTCTGATAACTGAACTGGGCATGAACTAGTGGAAGGAATGCTGGAGGAGTTTTGTTTTGATCGCAAAAACAATTTCAGGCTCTACTTTTTCCTTTTTTTAGTAATCCTGTCGCTCACTGTTTACATGCTTTTGCTGTCCACCATTGTGGACCCACATGATAAGGTGATGTCGGTGCAAAGGGTCAATTGCCACAGCTGCCCTGGGGCACACACACAGGCGAGGCTGCAGAGCTCAGGCGCTAACGGTCCCTCCAACCATCACCAGCAAGCAAGACGGGTTAAGTGTCTTGCCCAAGAGTCAGGATCGAACCTGCAACCTGCCGATTACTGGACAACCCATCCTACATGTTGAGCTTTGATTCCACCTAAACAAATGAGTTACAAAAGCCTCAGCCCCACAGAGTGGTCATGATGTTAAACTAGATCTAAAAGACCTAGAATGGTTTTGACCCAGGCTGTAAACATGTTTCTGATTTGAAGTGGGCGTTTTTAACATGGGAGTCAATGGGGTCTTGCTTCTTTCTGGAGCCAGCCCCTAGTGGATGAGGGTGGAATTACAACGTCTTCCTTTCCATGTAGGCTTCCCTTCAGGCAGCTGGAGTTGGACTCTTAGCTAAAAGACTCCTAAACTTTAGCTAGCTTAAACGCATTGGTTAGTAATGTTGTGTTTATTTTGTGGTTAAAGTATTTTTATTGTTATTGAAACACCAGAAATGCTGAGTCATTTACCAAACTATAAACATCTCACTGAAGAGTAAAAGCTCCAGGTTTGAGTTTTTCTGACACCAACAAACCGCCCTACCCATCTGCAGCTGTAGAAATGTTTTACACACTTGGCTCATTAAAAGGAAGAAGATGAATTTCAGCTAGACTCTAGGTTAAACACATGTGATGCATCTGTTGCAGGTGGTGGGCGGCCTTTGCTGTCCATGTATTTGAAGCCTGTGTGGCTTTAAAAGTGTGCAGGTAAGGATGAAAGGAGCTTTAAAGCCTGGAGTGTTGAATCTGTATAAAATCGAGTTACTAATGATTTTAAATGAACATAGATTTTTACACAAATGTGTTCTAAATGTTTCACCGCCATCATCGTCACTTCTTCCCCGTCAGCAGCAGAGTGGCTGTTCAGGTGAATTCATCTTCATTCTGTGGTGAAAGCCATGTTTTGGATCTCTTCAGGTTGTCTCTGGTATATGAAACCGTTTTCTGATCTGAAACATCATTTCTTTCCTCCTGATGTATTTGCTGTTTCCTCATATTCTCACTGCCAGAGTCTGACTGTAGGAAAGGCCCTTCAGAGTAGAATCTCAGAGCTGCTATCAGAGAACCAGTTTGATCCAGTTAGGGTTCCTCCCCACTGCTGGTACTTCAGCTGGCACCGCCAATCTGCATCAGTAATTCTTGTTTTTTTGTTTGGTTCCAGGAAGAAAGGCATCGACAGCTCAGCCACTCGCTTCCTGTGGTTTTTCCAGACCTTTCTGTTCGGCTTCGCCTCCCTCGGCCTGCTCCTCAAGTATGACCCCGAACATCCCAAACGCCGCTGACACCAGCAGAAACGCCCAGAGAGAAATTCGTCACTTCCTGGTGCCTCTTCCTCCTCGGAAGACAAAACTGTTTTAGGTACCAGGATGAGAAGAACAATGGTTCTCGTTTGACTTTAGGTCTGGGCTATTCCATTCTGGTCTGGGAGGGCTGGTACCCAGCATGTTTTAGTGGTTTCTCTGCTCCATCCCATCTAATTCAGTGATTGAATCACCTGTGCAGCAGCTCACCAGGTTCTCCATAAGCCTGTTAATCACTTGCTGATTGGAATCAGGCGTGTAGAAACGGGTTAAAACTAAAACATGCTGGCCCTCCAGGCCCAGAATTAGTGTTTAACTGTTTACTCGTCTTTAAATGCTTTAAAATTAAATAATTAACTTTAACCTCATGATGGACCAACACCGTCACATTCCTTTAGAGCCCAAAGCTGGAGAACTAGGATTTTAACAGCTGTTTTTATCTTATTCTATGCAAAACAAAGACTATAAGAATGTGTTTTGTGCTTGTAAAGAGTGATCACCTCTGTTAGCTGCTAGCTTATTCATACCTGAGAGGTTAATGTTTGTGATCGGCCTCAAAAACAGAGGTGTTCCACTTTCATGCTGACATGTTTAGAGCCTTTGAACTAAATGCTGGAAGTCTTTAATCTTATTAATAAAAGTATTTTCCAAACAGCAGAAGCTTTTCATCCAGAATTGTTCAAGCTGCGGTCACATATTGCTTTTTCCATAAGCCGTGCTAAACACCACATGGGTAGCTCCAAGTGTCCCTGAGGGGTTGTCTGATCATCCGTTTCAGGTCACTTTACTACCAGAAGGTCTGAGTTCTGCTCCTAAACCACTTAGTTCTGGCTTTATCCATCTGGCCTGGTGCTCCATCATGCTGGAGAAGACATCATTTGGAGGCGTTCCTCTGGGGGACGTTTAGGTAATCTTTATTCATGGCTGTTCTGAGGCTAAACTGGGAGTGAGTCCTCTCCCTTGGCTGAGGGGACCTCCAAACACACAGTCAAGGGATGCTTTCCTCCACGCTTCAGCGGTTTTGTCCCTGGACCTTCAGCAGAACATCAGTCGCTCTCTGATGGTTTTCTGTGGCTTCTTTGCTGCCCTTCTTGACCCCAGACCGTCCTCTAGATGTTTTCTCCTCCCTGAGCCGCACATGGACGTAGACCCATCTGGTGCCATTCCTGACCAACCTTTGGGTTGGTGCAGCCAAGATACAACAGCTGGCTTAACTTTAGGATAGTTTTTTTTAAACAAAAACACACCTTGAAGTTCGTCCAAGTGTCCACCCAGGATGTCCAGGTGAGCGTGTGATTCGGTAACAAAACGTCCTAACCTTAATCCATCTCCAACAGAGCGTTAGGAGGAAGGTAGAACCTACGTCTATTTTAGTCTCTCAGAAACATTTCAGACAAAAATCATTTTATTTATTTATGTCAAACTTCACACTTAAAATGTTTTTTTTCTTTTACTAGCGTGTGTATGTATACATGTATAGATAAATACACACACACACTGGTGTATGTCTTCATACGTATACAATATATATTTACAGTGGTATTTTTGTGTGTATAAATGTATATATACACACGATCGTGTACATATATCTACTACATGTAGGTATATATAAATATTTATGAACACAGATATGAATTCAGTAAGTTAAAATTAGAAATAAAACCTCCACTGAGGTTTTAACGCTACCTGCTGCTAACAAAGGTTAAATGTGACTGAGTTTATATTTTAGGCTTTTCTCTCTCAGGATTCCAGTTTTTGAGCTTTGATCACCGATCCAGCCAACATATGGACGGGTAGCGCTCATTCAGCGTCTTGCGTAGCTGAGTGCTTTGTGTCTTATCCCTGGTCTCCACCACACACTCAACCTGCCAAAAACACACAGATAGCAGCGTGATGAGACAGTCATTAGAACGGGGGCGGGGTCTGTGGTTGCCAGCTGTTGACGAAAGACCTTTCACCTTTTACCTGCTGTGGTTAATGAACAGCAGCTCGTAAAGACGGCGGAGCCTGGCGCTCAGTGAGGATGAACCGTTTTCTGTCCACCCGTTTAGCAACTGATAATGGTTTTTACTAAAACCAGTGTGTTACTGGAATACAGCAGCTGGGTTTATAAGTAACAGATATTTGTAATTATTACAGCTTGTAGCCGAGGAGCTCCTGCAGATAAAAACAAGCCATCACCATCGTTTCTGTCCTCAGAGGACTTCTGTCTCTGTTAGTGCTCACACATTTGGGTTAGCGAGCGCTTCTCCTTGGCTACCCACCTCACAGGTGAGCCTGAGAAGGGCCATCACGTTTGTGTTTTATACAATGACACAGTTGGTAAACAAACCCCGCCTACCTTTGCCTTGAACAGATCTGATTTGTCGCTGTGTCGGCGATGACAGACATCCAGCAATCTGAGAAAGAAAAGTGGGCGGAGTTAACAAGGCCATTGGCTTCGAACATGGAAGAGATGAAGTCTGAATTAGTCCCTACCTGACGTCCTCTCTGGACAGCACGTCCAGCAGCCTGGCCATGTCTCCTGGCCATTCTCCCAGTTGCACCGAGAACTTACTCACCCGGTCGTCCAGCACCAAAGCCCGGTCCACACACCGCCTCATCAGCTCTGGCGCCATGTTGGCGCTGCTCACCACAACAACCACCCTACAACCAAAGGGTGAGAGAGATGAAACTCAGAACCGCAACACTTGTGGGTTGTGACTCTCTGGGTGCTAACAGACTCCAGAGGATCTGCTGGAGGCCACCCAGAACTCTCTAGAATGATTTTTTATTAAAGGTTAAATGTGGAGGGTGATGAATTCAAGACCTTTAATTCTAAACAGTTCTGAATAAAAACATTTGTGTGGAAAAACAGAATTCATTATTTGAAGAAGACAGTTGTTATGAACTCATATGATAAGGGTGGTCTCAATTTTCTTGATTTTCAAACTCTAAACAACACATTTAAGGTCAGTTGGATTAAACAACTTCAGAAATCCTACTTCATTATGGAATATTATTCCATTTTTTATTCTTTCAAAATTGGGTGGTATTGACTTCTTCCTAATCTGTAATTATAACAATGATAAGATCTCTGTAAAAATGTCTGCCTTTCACCGTTAGGCCTTTCTTTCATGGTCTCTCATTTACATACACAATTTCTCACCCCACAACTACTTCATCTGGAACAACAAAGACATCTTGTATAAACACAAAATTATTTTTTTTAGAATATTGGTTTCAAAACAACATTAAATGGGTAGATCAGTGTTTAATCCTGAGGGACTTCTATTTACATGTGAAGAGTTTCTTAGGAAATATAATATTCCTGTAACTCCTGGAGATTATGATAAAGTTTTTGGTGCCATCCCATCTGGTGCGCATGCTGTTTAAAAATCAACAGAGTTGATGCTGGTGAACGTACTCTATTATCCCCAAGTGACGCACCTGTAGGGGAAGTTTGTTTCTCCAGTTTTCCTGCCAATAACAACAGATCTATCAGAGCTTTGTTCCAGGGAAATATTACAACTAGGGCTGGGACTTGATTAAAAATTTTAATCTAATTAATTACAGGCTTTGTAATTAATTAATCTCAATTAATCACATTTTAATCGTTCAGGAAAATGTGCTCTCAAAGTAAAACTTTTAATTAAAATTATGAGACAGAATCAAACATTAGACATGGTTATTACTGTAAACTAAAGCTTTTAATAAAAAAATGCATTTTAATTATTCAAATGTCACTGTGTGATATGAAACAAAACCCAAATCAACAAAAATTTATAATTACAAATAGAAAACACCTGCAAAGGGTTCCTGAGCCTTTAAATAGTCTCTCTGTCTAGTTGAATGACTGAAATAAATTTGACTTTGCACCAGATTATAATTTTTCCAGTTTCACTTGTTTGTATAATTGGGAGATTTTATTAGCATTTCTACTCTTAATGTAGTAAAAACACATAAATAATAATCCTTCAAAATGACAGCAGAACAGGCACAAATATGATCTAGGACTTAAATGTACTAACTTTTAACACCAGAGCAGGCATGGTATATTCTGAGAATGATCAGGAACACTAACTGGTTCCAGTTGGATGACTGGAGGATGATGGGAAGATAAAAGATCATGGCGAGGAAATAATGATCTGACGAACAGGTGAGCGGACCTTCCTTACATGGGAAGTCCTGATGTCACGTTAAGAAGGGGATGCTGCAGACCCGCAGATTCACGCCTGCAGCAGCGAAGCTGGTGTGATCTACAGACTGATCACAACTTCCTTGTTCCTCGCTGCCCAGATACACTTAAGCATCTGCCCCTTAGCGGATGACAGCTTCAACACACCTCGCTGCTTAATGATAGTAATGATGTGATGTTTAGACAGAGACTCGTCTCAGAAACATAGAATTCCCCGACAGAATTGTTTAGAAAATCATCAGAAAAGTTTCAGAGTGTTTCTGTTTTAACTTAAACTTCTGTTTTGAACTTTAAGACACGTTGTTTGTGATTGTTTACAGAGTAGTGAGAACACGGAGCGTTCTCCCAGCGGCAGCCAGGTGCCTCTCGTTTGTCTGACTACTTTCATAAACTACTGTTAGGGCAAAGAATTATTCTGTCTGGTGCTTTCAGCGCTGCACAGATGTTACGTAAATGTTAAAAATATAGCTAACCGCAACTTTTGTAAAGTTCCCGTTGCCACCGGGCAGCTGCAGCAGAGACGATCTCTGAAAAATGTCCGCGACACAGACTCCGTTGTTGTCTGGAAGTTTTTTTTCCAAGTTAAGAAAAGAGGCGGGCGTGTTTCCTAAATCCTGCATCAGTCCAAGCAAGGCAACTTCTTTCTGTTTTTATTCCGTTTTAGTAGCCATTAGCACTGTGCATTGTTGTGTGTGTCAGTGATATTCAGTCTACGAGGAAGTCGTGCAATGACAAAGGTTCCGCCGTGCTTGAAATGCAAGCTGCGATTAAATGCGTTAATTTTTTTAACGTGTTATTTTTTTCTAATTAATTAATCGTAATTAACGCGTTAAAGTCCCGGCCCTAATTACAACATTACCCCGTTTCTTATCTTACTGGAATACGTTTGTGAGTTTCCGTGGAAAAAGGTCTGGCTACTACCTAATAGATATATGATTAATAACAAAGTAAAAGAAATATCCTTTAAACTTCGTCATAGATTCTATCCAGTTAAATCTTATTTTAAATATAGATTCAAGAAAGATATTGACTTCAACTGTAGCTTCTGCAATGCATGTCCTGAAACTGCTATTCATTTATTTTGGCACTGCCTGGCAGTTCAAACCTTTTGGCAGAAACTTTGTGATCTTATTCATGTTCATATTGTTACTAATTTTGTTATACTTTGGAGAATGTGCAGTTTGGTCTTTTTGAAACTGGTTTGAACAAAAACTCAATACATGATTAACCTCTTAATTTTGATGGCAAAGTTTTACATCCACTGTTGTAAATATTCAGGTAAAAAACCATGCTTTGCAGCATTCTTTAATACTTTCAAATCGTACTTATTTTCTATTAATAATTATAAAAGAACAGTCACCTTATCGTGGTGGAGGAGATTGAGTGACCTAATGATCCCAGGAGCTATGTTGTCTGGGGCACTTTGTGCCCCTGGTAGGGTCTCCCATGACAAATTGGTCTTAGGTGAAGGGTGAGACAAAGAACGGTTCACAGGATCTTTCATGGAGGTACAGTAAAAGAGTCTGAGTACCCGGCCCGGAGGGTTACCGGGGTCCCATCCTGGAGCCAGGCCTGGGGTTGGGGCCCATGAGCGAGCGCCGGTGGCCAGGCTTTCGCCCATGGGGCCCGGCCCGAACCGGATACATGGGCTCATCCAACTGTGGACCCACCACCCGCAGGGGGAACATGAAGGGTCCGGTGCAATGTGGATCGGGTGGCAGACCAAGGCAGGAGCCTTGGCGGTCCAATCCCCGGACAAGAAAACTGGTTTGTGGGACATGGAACGTCACCTCGCTGACGGGGAAGGAGCAGGAGCTTGTGGCAAAGGTCGAGCGGTACCGGCTAGATATAGTCGGACTCACCTCGACACATAGCATTGGCTCTGGAACCCAAGTCCTTGAGAGGGGTTGACACTCTCTTTTGCTGGAGTTGCTCTGGGTGAGAGGCGGAGGGCTGGGGTTGGCTTTTTGTTAGCCCCAAGACTCTCTGCCTGTGTGCTGGGGTGTACCCCGGGGGACGAGAGGGTAGCTTCCCTGCGCCTCCGGGTCGGGGAACGGGTCGTGACTGTTGTGTGTGCTTATGGGCCAAATATCAGTTCAGAGTACCCACCCTTTTTGGAGTCCCTGGGACGAGTGCTAGATAGTGCTCCATCAGGGGACTCCATTGTCCTGCTGGAGGACTTCAATGCTCACGTGGGCAATGATAGCTTGACCTGGAGGGGTGTGATTGGGAGGAACGGCTCGCCTGATCTGAACTCGAGTGGTGTTTCGTTATTGGACTTCTGTGCAAGCCGCAGTTTGGCCATAACGAACACCATGTTCGAACATAAGGATGCCCATCAGTACACTTGGTACCAGGGCAGCCTAGGTCGCAGGTCGATGATAGACTTTGTAGTCGTATCATCTGACCTGCGGCCGTATTTTTTGGACACCCAAGTGAAGAGAGGAACGGAGCTGTCAACTGATCACCACCTGGTGGTGAGTTGGATCAGATGGCAGGGGAAGATGCCGCGTAGACCTGGCAGACCCAAACGCATAGTGAGGGTCTGCTGGGAACGCCTGGCAGAAGAACCTGTTAAGACGGTCTTCAACTCCCACCTCCGGCAGAGCTTTGGCCACATCCCGAGAGCAGTGGGGGACATTGACTCTGAGTGGGCCTTGTTCCACTCTGCGATTGTTGAGGCAGCTGTTGCTAGCTGTGGTCGCAAGGTGGCCGGTGCCAGTCGTGGTGGCAACCCCCGTACCCGATGGTGGACACCAGAGGTTCGGGGAGCTGTCAGGCTGAAGAAGGAGGCCTACAGGGCGTGGCTGGTCTGTGGGTCTCCGGAGGCAGCAGACAGGTACCGGATAGCCAAGCGGGGTGCAGCAGTGGCAGTTGCCAAGGCAAAATCTCAGGCGTGGGAGGAGTTTGGTGAGGCCATTGAGTAAGACTATCGATCGGCTCCAAAGAGGTTCTGGCAAACTGTCCGGTGCCCCAGGAGAGGAAGGCAGCAACTCGCTCACACTGTTTACAGTGGGGATGGGGAGCTGCTGACGTCAACTGGGGCTATACTCGGACAGTGGAAGGAATACTTTGAGGAGCTTCTCAATCCCACCTATGCGCATTCCGAGGAGGAACCAGAGCCGGGAGACCCGGGGATGGACTGTCCAATCTCGGGGGCAGAAGTTGCTGAGGTAATCAAACAATTAGACAGAGGCGGAGCTCCGGGGGCGGATGTGGTTCGTCCTGGGTACCTCAAGGCTATGGATGTTGTAGGGCTGTCATGGTTGACACGTCTCTGCAACATTGCGTGGTCATCGGGGGCAGTTCCTGTGGAGTGGCAGATCGGGGTGGTGGTCCCCATCTTTAAGAAGGGTGACCTGAGGGTGTGTTCCAACTATAGGGGGATCACACTCCTCAGCCTCCCTGGAAAGGTCTACTCCAAGGTACTGGAGAGGAGGGTCCGATCGATAGTTGAATCTCAGATTGAGGAGGAGCAATGTGGTTTTCCTCCTGGCCGTGGAACTGTGGACCAGCTCTATACCCTTGCAAGGGTGATGGAGGGGGCATGGGAGTATGCCCAACCAATCCACATGGGTTTTGTGGATTTGGAGAAGGCTTATGACCATGTCCCCAGGGGCACGCTGTGGGGGATGCTCCAGGAGTATGGGGTGGGTGGCTTTCTGTTAAGGGCTATTCAGTCCCTTTACCAGAGGAGCGTGAGTTTGGTCCGCATAGCGGGTAGTAAGTCTGACCTGTTCCCGGTGAGGGTTGGACTCCGCCAGGGCTGCCCTTTGTCACGGGTTCTGTTCATTACCTTTATGGACAGAATTTCTAGGCACAGCTGTGGTGTGGAGTGTGTCGAGTTTGGTGGCAGGAGAATCTCGTCTCTGCTTTTTGCAGATGATGTGGTCCTCCTAGCTTCATCCAGCTCTGACCTTCAGCTCTTGCTGGCTAGGTTCGCGGCTGAGTGTGAAGCGGCTGGGATGAGGATCAGCACCTCCAAATCTGAGACCATGGTTCTCGACCGGAATAGGGTGGCTTGCCAACTCCGGGTCGGGGGAGAGGTCCTACCTCAAGTGGAGGAGTTTAAGTATCTCGGGGTCTTGTTCACGAGTGAAGGTAGGAGGGATCGGAGATCGACAGGCGGATTGGTTCAGCATCTGCAGTGAAGCGGACGCTGAGCCAATCTGTTGTGGTGAAGAGGGAGCTGAGCCAGAAAGCCAGGCTCTCGATTTACCAGTCGATCTACGTCCCAATCCTCACCTATGGTCATGAGCTTTGGGTAATTACCGAAAGAACGAGATCGCGGATACAAGCGGCCGAAATGAGTGTCCTCCGTAGGGTGGCCGGGCTTAGCCTTAGAGATAGGGTGAGGAGCTCGGACATTCGGGAGGGACTCGGAGTAGAACCGCTGCTCCTCCGGATCGAAAGGAGCTAGTTGAGGTGGTTTGGGCATCTGGTCAGGATGTTTCCTGGACGCCTCCCCGGGGTGGTGTTTCGGGCATGTCCTGCCGGCAGGAAGCCCCCGGGTCGACCCAGGACACGTTGGAGAGGTTACATCTCCAATCTGGTCTGGGAACGCCTTGGGGTCCTGCCGGAGGAGCTGGTGGAGAAGGCCGGGGAGAGGACGGTCTGGAGCTCCCTAGTTGGAATGCTGCCCCCGCGACCCGGATAAGCGGAGGAAGACGACGAGAAGGCTCTTAAAACTATTGAAATATGTAAACTTTTTAATGTTTGCATTTGAATACTAATACCCCTATTATGATCTACCATTATAATTATTTTATTTTTTGTAATTATTATTATTATTTTATTTTTCTATGTTCTTCTTTTCCATTCTATCTTTCCTGCTAAGCACTCTTCTAGATATAAGATTCACATTGTAACTGTTACCAAAGCTCATATATGTGTATTTGTGAATAACTTTATTTAAAAAAAGTTCTGAATAAAAACATTTATTTTACTTTAAATATGAGGCGACTCACTTTTTCCCTCTTAGCTCTGGTAGATTTCCAGCCAATATGGCCGCCAGTCCCATGGCTCCTTCTGCGTCGACTGTGGAGCGTTCAAACTCCTGGAACCTCAACATGGCCACCAGGGAGTGATCCTCACTGGGAACCGGATAACGGATGATGTTCAGATAGCAGCTGGTCAGAACCAAGCTTGCTTTGGAGCAGGTATTAGAGCGATGTCAGTGATTAAAGAAAATTTCCTCGCCCTGTTTCCCACATTTAAACGTAATAAACAAACACTTGTTGCCGTACCTGACAGACAGAACCTTATCCACCAGTTTCTTTGCCAGCTGGAACGTGTTGACGCCGAGCGAACGCTCCATCAGACCTGAGGGCAGACGCATCATCATCACATCTTTATAAAGAAAACCCACAGCTGTGGTGCTGAGGAAGATGTACCCTCATAAAGCTTCTGTTCGGGGCTGCTGTGGACGTTTGGAACAGGAGAGTCGGTTTTCAGAGACTGAAGCAGCAAAGGGAAGCCTTCTGGTTCGACTCCCTGTTAAAATAAATGAGTGAATTTTATTTATACACTCATCACAGACAGGAAACCACAAAGTGCTTCACGTAGATCCCAACAAAACAAATACTAACGTCATAAAATCAAAATGATAAAAACAAAGTCTTAAAATATCATTAAAAATAAGAAAATAAAACTTTTAGGTAAAAGCAGCTTTAAATAAAAGGGTCTTCAGCTGATTTTTAAAAGTGTCCAGACTATCAATCCTACGTAAGGATAAAGGAAGATCATTCCAGAGTCGGGGTGCAACATCCTGAAAGGAGCGATAACCTCGACTTTTATATCTGGTCTTTGGAACTTGTAGAAGGTTCTGGTGGGTGGACCTGAGGGCTCGGGTTGGAGCATAAGGCTTTAACAGTTCAGTAATATAAGGAGGAGCTTGACCATGTAGAGCCCTGAAAGTTCTAGTCAGGACTCTAAAATGAACTCTAAAGCTAACGGGTAACCAGAGGGTGTATGTACAGTTGAAAAAAACAGTGGACCCAAAACAGAGCCTTGGGGTACCCCACAGTCCAGGGGCCTCATTTATCAAGCTTGCTTACTTACAAAATGGGGTCAGAAAACTGCGTAAGCAACTTTCCACGCAAACTTTGGGATTTATGAAAGAAATCTTGGCAGAAAAATGTGCACAACTTTAAGTTGACTAAGGAACTGGCTTACGCACATGTTGGACATGGAGAGCACCTGCAGTGCTGCTGCCGAGAAGGATAACATTATGAAATCCTGCAGCATTATAACTTGTACTGCTTCATTTTCTCACAGAACAAGACCCCCCACACGCAGACACACACACACAGAGCCTGAAGCACAGAATACGGAATGCAGAATATCAGCAGGGGGACAGATTGAGACAGAATGTCATGCGTCTGTGACAGTGTGAGCGTCCTGTCACTGTGACCCGACTGATCATGCACCCTGGCTACTTGGTCAAGGGAGATCTTCGTTTGGCTGACTGGTTAGCACGTGTGACTTTTACTCGGGAGTCTCTGGATCGAATCCCGATTAGACCATTTGTTTTATATCCAGCACAGATCTCTCTGAAGAATTCACAACATTGACGGCTTCAGCAACGCTGTGCCACTCTGTGGATTTTCTCTTATTTGTTTTGCAAAAGCACTTCTTTTCATTTCTCCACCTCACCCACAAGTACCTCAACTTCTGCTTCTGTGAAATTGCGCTTCCTTGATCTGCCTTGATCTATGGTCGCCATCGCCATTGGCGGAGCGCTGCAACAGCCGGCTTATGTATATGCATGAGATCCACAAGGCACCTTGCATTGACTATTTATGGCAGTAAGTGGGAGTGGTGAGGGCGGGATGTGACTAAAAAGCAGCTGAGAACCTTTCTAGATAGTTTCCGATTTATGAAGCGGAGATTGCGTGCAGCTGTGCGTACTCCATGTTTGATAGATCACAAACCTACTTGGCGTAAGTACATTTTTTTTGCTGAGCTTAAGTACGGTTTTAGTAAGGATTCTATGCAATGTTTGATAAATGAGGTCCGTACAATCTGACATGATGTGGTTTATACAGACACTGTAACTTATGTTAGAAAGGTACGATCTAAACCAGTCTAGAACAGTTCCAGAGATCCCCACCGAGGCACCAAGTCTGTTAATTAAGGTGCTGTGATCAACAGGGTCAGAAGCTGCAGATCTAACAATACTAACACCGTGAGTTCCCCGTTGTCTGCAGCCATCACCACTTTAAGCAAAGCTGTTTCTGTTAAATGCGTTTCACCAAAACCAGACTGGAATTTATCAAAACTGTTGTGTAGTTCCAGAAAAGTAATCAGCTGATCTGCCACAACCTTTTCCAATATTTTAGAGATAAAGGGTCATTTAGAAATGGGTCTGTAGTTTTTAGGCTGAGATGAGTCTAGGCTTGTTTTTAAGGATAGGTTCAATAACTGCATGTCTGAAAACAGATGGTACAGAGCCAGATTGTAGGGATAAATGAATAAAATCTAAAATGCATGGGCCAATTTGGTCAAACATCTTAAACACGGTGGAAGAGATAATATCAGCAGGGCATGAGGTTGGTCTTATGTGTTTCTAAATGAGGCACATGTTCTGGAAATCTACTGGAGTAAAGACAGACCATGATTGGGAGGAAGGTGGGTGGATTGGGGAGGGGGGTAGGAAGTAGATGGGGCTGATATTTCTGACTTTATTCTCAAAGAATGCTAGAAAGTTGTTACAGTCAGACCTTGAGTAAATTGGCATAAGAGGGGCGTGACGTGAAACAATCTGCTTTATGGTGTCAAACAGGACTTTAGAGCCATTTTTGTTTACAGCAATCAGCTGAGCAAAGTAAGTGTCCCTGGAATTTTTCACCATCTCATTCAGAGAGGTTATCAGTTGTTTAAAGTGCAGCCTGTGACTTTCTAATCTAGTTGACTTCCAACATCTATCGGCTCTGCGGCACGTCCTTCTGAGACTGTAAATGTTTTGATTAATCCAAGGACTTTTCCTGCTGTTAAATAAAACAATCTGCTTAACGGGAGCCACTGTGTCTAAGACACTGCAGCATTGCTTGTTCAATGATTGGATGAATAAACTTGGATCGTCACCCTGAACTGAGCTGCTGTCTAATAATCTAGAATATCCATCCACTGCTGACTGACTGATGATGTGCCTCTCTGATTTCTGTTTGAGGGACAGGATCAGTGTTAGATTGGACATTAACACAATGCAGCCATGGTCACTCACACAAACCTGGTTAACATGCACATGGCTGATGTTCAGTCCCAAACAAAATACAAGGTCTAGAGTGTGTCCCATTTTGAGTGTGGGGCCTGAATCGTGCTGCTCTAAGTTAATAATAGATATGAACTCCACTGCTTTGCTACAAGTGGGATCATTAAAGTGTAAGTTAAAGTAACCAAGAATTAAATCTTTTCCTAGTTTGATCATTGAGAATAGAAATTCTGCAAATTCAGAGAGAAAAGGGCCAGCTGGACCGGGAGGTCGGTAGATTACAGCACAGTAAAATACATTTTGTAACCCTACTTTGATGACCTGATGTTCAAAAGTTGTAAAGGGGCCATTTTTCACCAGATTACAGACATGTTTGTCCTTAAAGACCTCAACCACGACGTGACGGGTGTGGTGAGGTAAACACAGAGTTATTTGGTGGACATATTTCATTAAAGTGTACAAAGTGTCCATCTTGCTGCCACGTCTCAGTAAGAAATGAATAGTCCAACTTTTCTCTGGTGAACAGCTCATTTAAAATAAACGGTTTGTTTGAGATGGAGCGGGCGTTTAACAGAGAACACTGAACTGGATCCTAGAGAACATCTGTCTTCTAAACCTGTTAGAGAGGGATGGGTCGTAAACATCTGGTGTTCGGGGTTCTCCGGCCACGAATACAGTTTATGTCTTTGCTGGTTGATAAATGAACTGGAATAAGAAGACTTTGGGATTTGTCAGCAGAAGACAACATTTTGGGGATTGTGATCTTTGGAAGACACACAGATGACTGTTGCATCGTGGGAGGACTGTAGGGGTGATGTTATTTGTAGAGGAGGTGTGAGCGATGGCCGAAGAAGGTGAAGACGGCTGGCATGAACGTCACTAGGATTGAGATATGGGGGGGGGGGGGGGGGGGGGGGCTTAGCCCCAGGAGCTTGACCTTGAACGTTTTTTGTCACACCCTGCAAAAACTTTGTCAATTAATTCATTATCTGAAGAACTTTTAACAAAACCTATTATTTTATCACTTTCTTTTCTTTTCCTACCTTTGTGCATTTTCTCTCTTCTATTTATAAAAAAATAACACTTAATCAGTTAATTAGTGGGGTCTATGTTGAAGAAAGATTTTATGCAAGTCCATTAAAAATTAGATATGTTATATTTCCAAATAAAGCTATTCATTTCAGTCTACTGCACTTAACAGGGGGAAATGTTGTAGTCATTTATTTAATTACAACTTGTTTAATTATAAATGTTACTGAAATGTGACAATAAAGAACAAATGAATAATTTTCAAACTTTTATTCTGCCAAATGAGTGTGCAGTCGACAGTTTTAATATATGAATAACACTGCTATGATATGGAATAAAGGAGTATGTAACTAACTATTACAAGACAAAATAACAGTATATATAAAAATATCCAGCAAGCAGTAGAACTTATAATACAGAAAGTCAACTATACAGATACAACTTGACATAAGGTTGCAGGTCAGATGATAATTAGTTTTTTTTTTTTATATCAAGGTCTCTTACCTGTTCACTCCTAAATAGAAAACTGTTCAATTTTGCTTGGGAACTTTGTGCTCAGGTAAATGCTCATAACGGTGCGCTCGCCCCTGTTTTCGCTGTAGATCACTGACCTTGACCATGCAGATCTCCTCAGCATCAACCACCTGGTCTCTCTCCTGTTCCTCACTCACTCTCTTAAAAAAATCTTCGTATATCCATCTGGCCAACAAATTGAAAAACATTTTCAATTTCTAATGCCAAAACAAATGCTACTATGCCATTTAGTTTTCATTCACAATAATTGAAACAGCCATTGGTGGATAAATGGGACAGAATATGGACAACTGTTAGCCTAATATAGCCTATGTTTTGTTGCTCATGATGATGGCATTTTCCATAACGTCACATCGAGCAGCCAAAATTTATGTTAAAGTTAGATGAGTACAATATCTCCTTTCTTGTAAACATAGCAAATATTAAGCAATTGACAACCCACATGGAAAGAAGTCATATAAACATATAGGTTTTAATATATGTTTTGATATAGCTTTTATATATAATATATGTGACATATATAAAACTGGCTGTTTACTATATTATAGATACATATATGTACCTATAATATATATATTATAGAAAATATATATAATATAGAAAAATGGTCAATAATATACACATTCGGCCATGTTCTGATTCAGGTTTTTAGTGTGGAGTGATTTTTGTGCCACCAACTGGAGCGTGCAGTGCTAAATCTGCAAGAGCACAACCTGCT